TCTTTGTAATGTGGTGTGATTTATTAATCAATCTCAATCAACTCTGGAGCCTTCCTGCGGGGAGACTTCTTGGTGCTGTGCAGTTTTTGTATGTAGACCGATGTCAAAAAAAGAAGGATGTGACCGACATGAAGGCTGACTCACATTTACACTGAACTTCTGTAAGAAATGATGCTCAGCTTCATCTGCACTTTTTGAAGGTTATTTTCCCCATTAGATCTGTGGACAAGACTGCCCTCTACTGGCATTAATAAACAGGAAATCCATCAAGAATGTCTGCCATTCCAGCATATTGTCTCTGTGGAAGCTTTTACAGCTCAGTTAGAGCTCCTAGTGACTCCAGGGAAAACACAGGAAGGTGGGAGACTGGACTGGACTGGATGCGCAGCTGCTTGAGACTGTCCACCTGGCTGAGGATTCACAGCAAGAGCAGCAGACACAGGGCAGCGAGATCGGGAAAAAAACAGATCTCTGCTTCTCCACCCCTCTAAAGACCCAGAGCCAAAGAACTGCACCGTGACCCTCTGTATACGAAACCTCTGCCCTTAAACACGGACAAAGCATTTGCGCAGTTTAAATATTTTTTTCTGGATTCATTTTTAAAGTGCCCCATCATTGCACTTTAAGTCGCCTTCTTCTATCGGTCCTTCCTGCTTTGAAATTTGTCTACGAATGTTCTTTGAAGAAGCAGGCAGTCCTGCTGCCAACTCACCTCCACAGTTTCTGCAGCCGCGACTTTTCTCCCTCCCCCCCTCCTCACCCGTCTGCTCCGCGTGTATTACTGACCTTTCAAGGTAATGAAGGGGCTGGCTCCTTTAGGATTCCATCATTCTTTTTTGAAAAATAAAGATTTTAGAAATGCAGTGCATAGCGGCGATGCTAGAAGTGCACCTGGTAAGCCTGTTAGCATGCAAAACACCTCAGCGCCTCTCCCTTCGTCTCCTTCAGGATCCACTGCTGGAGACGAGCAGCAGGGCAACACGGCCGGGAGGAAATCCAGCTCATTTGGGTCAAAGATCAAACCTTCACCACAAAGCAAACTCTCCGAGGAGGGAGAGATCATAAGGGGGATCAAACTCTGACGGCTGGGGTTGAATTTGTATACACAGAGTGATGGAAAGGTCAGAAATCTGGTTGGATGATTCTTGCTTTCTAGCACTGCGAAGTGGTCAGAGCTAATATTCAAATCCCCATAACTTAAGTACACTTAGCATGATTATACTGTATATATGTAAATTAATCTAAATATCTTCAAGATTCACCTCTAACAACATCTTAATTGAATCTTTCTTTAGACATTTCTACAATATTTCTGGGTAAACAGCCGCACAGCTGGGCTCCCAGGAGAGGAAGTTCTGGTGTCTTGTGTGTCCAGTTACTGACACCGAAACTGCTGAAAAACAAGGAGCTGCTGAGCTAACGCCTCTGTAGGAAGTGGTCAAGACTTCAGACCTCTGGGGATTACTCTTGGAAGGATGGGGAATTGCCGTCTCTACACTTTAATCCCATTTTTTAAAACATGATCTTAAAATATCAATGTTATGTGAATATTTTCCAGCAGACATCATTGACAAATGACAAAAAAAATGCCCAAAATTGTCTTTAGACTTGATTCAGGTCTTAATATAGAGCAATTTCAAAAGCCAAGATCAACTTCATTCTTGGTTAAGGGACAGGGTATTTTTAGCCTCTGGCAAGATGAGCAGAAT